TGCATAAGATGTACATTACGACTATAGGTTATACGAGAGATGCATTTGAATAAGATTCAAATATATGGGTTTAATTAAATATGTGATATTTAATTTTAAATAATTAATTGTTAATTATTTATTTAACTAATATTAGATTTAATTAATTAATTATTAATTAGATTAATAATTAATAATTAATTATTATATTAATTAATTAATAATTAATTATTATATTAATTAATTAAAAACTCCCCTGCAAAATTGCAGGGGGGTGGAAAGTTGTGACGTAGGGAGTTACCCCACGTCACATTTGGTTAAACTGTACAGAATAGTTCTGTACAGTTCTTCTTCCTTTGGCAAGATCAAACTCTCTCGATCAAGCTCTCTCCCTAAATTCTCTCTTTACATTCCAAATCGGTGCTCCCACAAGCACGATCTCGAAACCCAAGAGGATAGCACGGAAGACTCACTAGTGGTGTTCGTTGGATCAAATTGAGGAAGAGTTCTTCAAACGTAAGTTTTCCCCTGTATTTCATCTTTGAACCTTTGTTTTTGTTTTCTAAAAAAATCATGAACGAAGTCCCGCTTCCGCTCCGGGATTCACATCCTCCCATCAGTTTGAACCACCCAAATCCTAAGATGGGGACGAAGGTCGGCATGAAAACGATGCTGTTGAACCATCAACTGCACCTGCAGAACCAGAGAAGAACGACGGGGGACAAGCAACTAACGTCGATGAAGGTGTTAAAGAAGATGTCCATGTCGAGGCTAAGGAGAAAGAGGAGAATGATAGTGGTAAGAAGGTACGCATGTTCAGTGTATGTCTGAGGAGGGTTGAGAAACGTTTGAAGCGCATAGACGACAGGATGAGAGGTATTGAGGCTGAATTAAAATCAATCCAGAAATTTCTGCGAAGAATCGCTAAGGTGATAATAGTTTTCACTTATAATAATTACGATGTCTTTTCACTTATTGAGACCTAATTTGTCCTCCATTGTATAGGTTTTACTTGTTGACCCAAATGACATGAGAAGATGCAGCAATGAAGATGATACTGGGCCAGGAGATGGACCTAGTGATGCACCAAGTGGCGGACCCAGTGGTGCTGATGGTGGGCGAGGTGATAGTCCTAATGCTGGTGATGGTTCTAAACCATCCATTATGGACGGGGAAGTCCATCGATAACATGATCATCGATCCTCCGAATGTGAACGTGCACGGGCCAGAAGCACCTCATTCTAGTCACGATGAGGACCAAGCTCAACAAGAACTTCCTGGATTTTGGACACTAGAACGTGAGGTACATGTTGGTAATTCATCCGTTAAAATTTGATCATAATCTTATTCTAACGAAGTTGCATGTGTCCTGTTTGAGGACGTGCAGAAGGAGAGTAAGGAAACCAATAGTGGAGAATGCACGGACGTACCCTGTGGCTTAGATGCACGTTACGAGGCTGCCCCTCTTGAGGAAACTCCTGTTCAGAGCACACCGGTGAATCATATTATCATTGATTCACAGTTGTTAGAGTCATCCATGGACGACGAGGTATTTACTATCGACCTTCGACCTTTCAACACAATACTTTCTCTTTTAACATAATTTATCCAGGATGAAGATGCAGAGGATTTCACGGACTCTGATGTGGAAGGGTGGGGAGAAGTTAAATCCTAGACTGTTGAGCATACATCCGGGACATCGCATCCGAACCCAGATGAGGTACGTGTGCTATCGCAGCCAGTTGAACACTAGAAACCGCGGCTAAGGTCTCGGAAGAGGAAGCTCCCATGGAAGCGTCGGGGCTCATTCCATGTCATTATGGACGGGAAGCGAAATAAGATAAGTCGATACGACCCATTAATCCACGTTCCCCCTGAACAAGTCCAGAAGTTTCATGCATGGATGGCCAACCTGAAGACCAACCGTTTCACTCGGAAATCATGTTACGGTGATCGAGGAAAGACATGATTTCGTGACCTTATCACCCTAGAGAAGTGGTTGACGAGTGAGCTACGGGGTCGAAACCCTAAATATGTGTTTATACTGTTACTTATTTTGCTTCTTGCAACAATAACTTATATAGGTGATTTATTCGTTGGTGATGTTTATGCGGAACAAACTGGAGCAACGACCAGACTTGTGTTGTCGAAAGTTCACCACCAGACTTGTGTTATAGAAAAATAATTTTTTATACATTTTATTAAAAAAAACATAAAATAAAAAATAGTTATCAAACAACTATTTGATTTTTGGTTTTTTTTTTATTTTGAAAATGAAAAACAAAAAATGGTTATCAAACATGTTTTGTTTTCTGTTTTGTAAAAACAAAAAACAAAAACTAGTTATCAAACATATATGGTTTTTTAAAAAAAAAACAGAAAACTAAAAACCAAAAACAAGAAAAATCAAAAATCAAAAACTAAAAACAGAAATGGTTTTCAAACGGGCTCTTATATATTGTAGGTAATCAAGTATTCTGTAAAAATGCACGTGCTTTGCGTAGGCCAAATGCACCTTTCCTTCAGATTCTACTGGATCATTAATAAGTTCACGAGTTCGAGCAATTGAGGAGTCACCCCATGAAGAAAAGTTAGAGAGAGAGATGGCATTCAGGGCAGCCGTTCTTCGCCGTGTTCGAGTTCCGGTTCGATTCCTTGCCCTAGCTCGTCGGGAATGTCAACCGCAACCATGTTCTGATGGACTCCGACTATTTTCATCACATGATGATCACCTTACCAAGAAGGAGGTCATTGAGAGAGTCATTGCGGTTATCAAGTGCCATCCCAAAGTGGAGGTGATTCGATCTTATCACTCATTTTCCCTTGAGTCGTTTTCAAGACTTGCATTCGAAAAAAAGAACTAAAAAAGTTGAATATTCGATCAAACAATCTAACCAAATATAAGAAAACACAATACATTGACTAAAGGAGAAAATTAACATACCGAAAGAGAAAAAAAAACTCAAGTTTTGATGAAAAAAAAGTTGGGAGAAAGAGTAAGAAAAAACTCTTTATATAGTTGTAGAAAATGAAAAGTTATGAAACTTTCGAAATTCCTTATTAATTATAATTCAAAATAAATTATAACTTTTTAATTAATTTATAGAAATAAAGAGACAAACTCCTACATATTCTAACTCTTTATATTATAATCTTTAAGAGGAAGAGTTTATTAGAAAGAGAAGATTAATTTTAGAAATTTGTAAGGATGTAGATTAAATATTTTAAAAGAAATGAAAAAAAGGGAAAGTGGCATGGGAGAGAGGGAAAGGGGGAGTGAGAGAGAAAAATTAGGACCAAATTGCCCTTAAAATATCTATGGGAACGTTGAAATTAAAAGGGCAAAATAAGGAGAAAAAGTTTCTCCCTATAGTTTCTTTTAGATATATTATAGAATTATAGATTATAGATTATAGATTAAAATATCTAGTAAGAAACACGTGCCTTGCACGTAGAATCTTGTAGTTCTAAATTAAAGTAAAACAAATAGTGTTTTTTTAAGTTTATAATATTATCATTTTAAAGAAAGAAAGTGATTATATATAAATATAAATTCAAGGTATGATATTGTTATAATAAAAGAAGATGATGAAAGATTAGCATGGAAACTAAATACAAATTTGAAGTGTAAGAAAGATGAAAAAGCACCGTGTAAGTTTTTTTTTTTAATGAATGAACGTTCTTAATTTACCTCTAATTTTCTTGATTATAAATTATTATATTACATTTTATCTTTGTTAAATTGTGTGATGTTAAATCATTAAGTTTGTTCATTCTAAAATGAAAAAGAAAGGTAAGAATGAGAGAAAGAGTAAACCGTAAAATGTCCAACCTTATGATATTGAGAGGGATAAAAATTGTTTTTTTGCCCTAACTTTGTAAAAATAATTAGAACATTTCACATATATAAATCAAAAACATCACTTTAAAAAAATAAATAAATAAAAATCAAACTCATAAGCATTCTTATTATCCAAATTATGAGAATGATCGAATTTTGCTTTATCTCGATTCCATCGACCACCACGACACATCGTACTCTAAAATTTCTTTCAATCTGAACAATGATAAATTTGGGGAACGCGAATTGATGTCATCAACTCAACTTTAATTTGGTTTCTCTTCACTATCAATCATCCTCTCGATCACCCATATGTGTATTGTTGTTGTCGTTGCTAAAGCAAGAGAGTAATCTTCATACCTTCACACCACTTAGAAAATTTTCCACTTGTTCGATCCACCACCTCTTGATTTTTGGTTGGCATGAGAAAGAGAGGACACATATTTATATATGGATTGGGAGGGGGTTAGGAAGATGAAAAGATTGAGAGAGGGTATGTGATAATTGGAAGGGGGTTAGGAAGATGAAAGGATTGAGAGAGGGTATGTGGTAGATGAAAGGAGTTAAAAAAATCAATGAGAAAGATAAAAATAATGAAAGAATAATTAAGAGAGAGAAGATTAGCAAGAGAAAATAAGGGAATTTAGAGGGGTGAGATCCTGAGGGAGAGAAGAGATAAATGGGAGAGATGGACGTGGGAATGAGGGAGAGGAAGAAAGTAGGAGAGGTAAATGACAAATTTGCCATCAAACTTTTATAAAAATGAGATATAAAAGAAGGGTAAAATTGACCTAAAAAATTTCTCGTCATCCCACCTTTTATATATAATATATAGATATATAGATATAGATTATAGATTATAGATTATATATAGATTATAGATTATAGATTATAGATATAGATATATAAATAGATATATAGATATAGATTTAAAAATAAAAGTAGTTAAAAAAAAAGTAACAATTATTCATTCAAATTTTGGAGGTACTTAGAGAAATTAAAAGTGTTAAATAATAAAAATAGTTTTAAATGGGTAAATTTAAGTTTACATAAAAAAAAAATTGATTTTAGTAGAATTTTTAAGGATCTCAAAAGGCTTTAAATTTAAATTAAAAAGAAAGAAATTAAATAAATTTAATTTTCTAATTCTTTTTAAAATCTACCCCAGCTTTTAGAAAAGTCCTTTTGCTCGGCCGCCTCCCTCACTCCAGTTCTCCTCTCTCCCCTCTTCTCTCGTCGATCTCCATTCTCCCTGAGGCCTCATTTTCCGTCGCCCCTCCGTCGCTACTGTCTCCGTCTTCCGTCGCTGCTGTCTACCGTCTTCCATCTCCGTCCGCCGCTGGTCGTCCGTCGCCGTCTATCGCTGCCGTATTCCGTTGCCGCCGGTCCGCCGTAGTGAGGTAGTTTGTTACTTTTATTTATTTCAAACCATTTTGTATTTTTACTCTTTCACCTCTGATGCGACAATGGATGCTATTTAATTCCTCTGTTTCTTTCTTCCAGATCATTACAATCAAGTGATTTTATCTCTGGTTTTTTTAGTTTTGTTACATATGCTTTGGAGCTACTTGATTGTGCAAAATGTTCTTAGGTCGATCATTGTTTCAGTCTCTGCAATTTCACTCACTCTCGCCTCGCCTATTCAATTCTCCTTCGCCTTCTCTCTCTCTGAAGCAGAATCACAGCTTGCCGCTTCGATTCTCCCTCGCTCTCAATCTCTCTGAAAGGAATCCTCCTCAATCTCACTCACTCGGCTTCTTCAAGGTACTAAATGTACCACGATTCAACGTTTTTCTTTTTCTTTGAGTAATTACTAAGAAATGTCTACTTTCTTCTGGCTTGATCACGAAATTATTATTTGATGGTTATAATCGCTGTTTTGTTTGTTACTGATGAACATTTCTGGCAAACTGGTATGTATCACTTTATTCTAGATTGAGAATGGTGGGTTTTTTTTTTTCTTGGATAGGAAACAATTTCATTGTTGATATGAACTTGTACAAAAAAAAAAAAGAAGAAATAGAATCAATCAATTGTTGGGTAGAGTGTTCATTTTCCTTAAAATTCCTAGAGTTCCTTTCTCTTCAAACAGTCAAGATGAAAGCTCTTATGTTTTATAGCCATAGAGTAGCTTTTTCATGATTGAAGGGTTGATGTACGAGAATAGATGCCAACCAATCCCTTATGTTGTTTGGTGATATCAAACCCCAACAAAAAATGGATAAAAATTGTGTCCAGATCTTGTTTGTGAAGGGGCAGTCCATAAAAATATGGTATTGAGATTCAGATTCCACCTTGCATAAACAGCACCAAGAGGGAGGGGGAGATGGACCAGTGGCCACCATGGGCATCTTCTTTGAAGCTTGTTGAAAGTATTTAGGCATGAAATTGAATGACTTAAATCACACATAAAAAATTTGATTTCTTGGATAGGTGGCTTTCCAGATAGCCTTATAAAGGGATGTTGTATGAGGGGTTGTACCTATAGATACTGAATGTGTAAATGGTTTAACGGTGAAGCTTCCATTCTTCTCTAGGTTCCACATCCAGAAGTCCTCCCTATTACTAGGGTAGAAAGAGGACAAAATTGTTAATAAAGCAGCCCTTCCCCATTCGTCTTCTTTGATATTTCTCCTAAAAGTCATGTTCCATGCCCTGTTTTGATCCTCTGAAAGGTCAGCAATTGTAATGCTTTTATTTGTGGCAACATAGTAAAGGAAGGGTAAAGTCTCTCATCATTGGCCTTTGTCTAACCCACAAATCTATCCCATTACCAACCTTGAATCGAATGTTTGTAAAGATGAAAGCCCCTTGTTTTTTGATGAATTTCCATGGTCCTTTTGTGGATTGAAGAGTTAAGTCATCGATTTTTTGGATTAAATGCTTTGTACTGTATATTGCAGCAATAAGCTTTCTCCATAAAGCATCCTTTTCCTTGTGGAGAATCCATATCCATTTGGCTAATAAAGCCATGTTTCTCCTTTTCAGGTCATAATACCCAAACCACCTTCTAACAAAGGGAGTTTAACAAGGCTCCATCTTGAAAGATGAATGTTGTCCTTCTGTTTGTTTCCAGCCCATAGGTACTTTCGAAAATATGTTCTATGGCAGCAGCAACTTTGGTTGGCAAGTAGAAGAGAGATAGAAAATAAATAGGGAGATTTGCAAGGGTAGCTTGTATAAGAGTAAGCCCCATAGCATTTGGACAGTGTATGACTCCAATTTTGCAGTCTATTCTCTACCTTGTGGATGACAGACTCCTAAAGGACAAAGTGTGTGGTTTGCCATGGGTGACCCAAATAAGAGCTAGGCCACGTGCTTACCTTAGATCCCATAAAGTTAGCTAGATGGGAGATGTGTTCTCCTTCACAATTTATGCCAAAAACTCAAATTTGTGCTAGTTGACGTTTAGACCCGAGGCATCCTCAACGCTGTTAATGTCATTAAAATATTTTGATTATGCTTTTCTTCATGGGAAGAGAAAAATATGGCGTTATTAGCAAATTGGAAATGATTTATCTGCAACCTTTCTCTGCCCACATGGAGTACCCTAATGTAGTTATTTGTTGCTGCAAGTGACAAAATATTGCTAAGACAATCAACAACCTTAACAAAGAGAAGGGGCGAAATAGGGTGTCCTGTCTAATTCCTTTTGTAGCTTGTAATTTGCGTCGAGGCTGGCCATTTATAATGATGGAGAAATTTACAGAACAGATGGCCCATCGCTTCCAGTGTATCCCAAAGCATTTTGCTTCCATAATCATATCAAGGAATTCCTAGTAACTATGTTGAATGCCTTCTCCAAATCGAGTTTTATGATCACTCCTTGGTTTTTCTTTCGAAACCATTCATTAATAATTTTATTTGCAATGAGGGAAGCATCAAGAATTTGTATTCTTGCTATGAAGGCATATTGGACTTCAGAAATAGTAGAAGGGAACATCTTTTTAACCTCTCAGATAAAACTCTAGCAATTATTTTGTACAAACAAGTGGTGCGGCTGATGGGTCTATAATCTCCTACCATTTTAGAGTCTACTCTCTTAGGGACTAGGCAAATATAAGTGTCGTTAAGGCTGACATTTATAATGGCATTCTAAAAAAATCTTGGAACACCTCCAACAAATATGGTTCAATCAATGATGTTTCAAGACTTTTTGAAGAATTCAGCAGGGAATCTGTCTGGTCCAGGAGATTTGTTTGTACCACCTCTTGAATGACATGCCATATTTCTTCGTCCTTCAAAGGAGCTTCCAAGGCTAGATTATGCGAGGAAGAGATGGGATCCCAATTTAAGGAAGATGGAAGGTATCTGATGCCATCTTTTTTGGTGTAAAGCCTTTTATAAAAGCTTATGAATTCTACCTCTATATCGTCATCATGCATTAAGCTAGTGCCTTGGCCGGAAAGGTTTTTTAGAGATTGTATTCTTTCTTTTCTTTGTAGCAAAAATCCTGGGTTCTGATCCCCTTCCGCTAAACCATTTAGCCTTGCATTTCTGTCTACAAAAGACTTCTTCTCTTGCAACCAAATCAGTGAGTTCTACCTTGATATCGAATCACTTTTCAATTTGTTGTAGAGTTAGCAGGCTCAAATTCTTTATTGAGTTTGTGTGATGTAATTCTCTTTGTAGTGTCACTTTTTTAGTCAAAATGCATCCATATGTATTCCATGATTTTAAAGCCTTTTTTAGGCCCTTTAAGTTTTTCAATAATCCATGCCCAGTCCATCCTCTCAGGGTTGTTGTTCCACCATGCTTCGATGAAAGAAAGAAAATTAGGATGGTGAAAGCCACATGTTTTCAAACAAAGGAGTTAGACCTCAATTCTGTATCCTAGGGTAGAATCAGGGGTAATGATCTGATGTGGTTCTTTCTATTCTTTTTATACAGAAGTAGAGGAAAATTTGGAGATGATGGATTTTGTTTGGAGGAACCAATAAATGAGAGTGAGAGTAGGTGGATCTCTGAAAATTTGACCAAGTACAACTCCCATTGGATAAGTTAACCCATCATCAGCAATGAAGGTGTTAAAGGTCCCCATATTGCTGGCAGGGCGAATTCCATTGGAGTTTTCATGATTCTTTCTAATGAGGCTGGCCTGAGAGTAGATGATGATGGACCATATATGCTTTTGATCCAAAAATCAAAGCCATCAGTTAAAGAGTGGTGGGATAGGATGTGTGTACATTTTGGAATATCCGATACTTTGATTGATGGATCATTCCAAAGAATAATAATCCCTCCAGATGATCCACAAGCATAAGGGAAGACCAACCAACATTTTTGGAGCTCCAAAGGGATTTAATAAAGAGTCTTTCAAGTTTCAAGGGAGATTTATGGATTTTTTTGTCATTTATGGCGTTTTTTAAAACGTCACAATTAGTTATGTGCGCTAGGAGTGTCTAAAAAACTCCTTAACTCCACCCAACCGAACATGTGGACACCTCTATTGTGCGCATTTTTTTTGCGGAAAAAATGCCATCTTAGGGTTTTATCTAAAACAACGTTATTTTCCGAGGCTAGATTACGTTGTTCGCAGTCTAAGCTCGCGTATGAATCAAGTTTGTTGTTTGCAATTAAATCCCTTTCCATTTTGAAGTAGTCGACTCTTTTGAGCTCTTATTAGTTGTATTGATCCTTTAAATTTTGAGAAAACAAAAAAGATTTTAAACTTTTGGACCTGAAAAATTAAAATAAAAGTGAAAGCTTAAGAATCAAAATAGATTTTTTTTTTGAACAAGAAACAAACTTCTCATTGAATTAATGAAAAGGAATGACAATGTTCAAAGATACAAACTCTCGAAAGAGTGAAAATAAAAGAAAATTACAAGTGAATAGAAAAGAACAAGATAATCTTAAACATTAAGAGATAAGGTAAAAGCTCCCCAATTGAAACAAATAAGTGAGGGAGAAAAGTTTTTGAACAAAGGTGATAAAGAGCTCCACTGTGAGGATTTAAATTTAGCCAAACTGAAACGATCCAGTGGAGATTTGCGACGATCCTTAAAAATTCTGAGATTTCTTTCATACCAAAGCTCGTAGAGCAAGGCTTTGACACCATTTGACCACAGCAAGCTACTTTGAGAAGATAGAATTGGGCCTAGGAGTAATTGAAGGATATTATCCACTGCTATGTCGCTGAAAACCCAGGAGAGATTGAACTCTTTAAATAACAAGAACCNTTGAAAAAAGAAGTACAGTACACAAAAAATCTGATGGGCGATCATGAGGTAGAATGGAAGAGAAATGGTTGTTCGCTGATGTCAGATGGGTGGACTGATAGGAGGGATAGGACATTAATCAACTTTTTAGTTCATTCATCTGTTGGAATGTTGTTTATGGAATCCATCGATGCATCTTCATGCTTCAAAACTGGAGAAAAGATTTTTCAACTCTTAGATGGCATGGTGGAGAAGATTGGAGAAGAAAATGTTGTCCAAGTTGACGGATAATGCCTCAAACTATGTGTCCTAGCTGGAAAACTTTTAGAAGCCAAGCGACCTCATCTATATAGATGTGTATAAGAGACAGGAAAGCAGAGAGCTTTCTTTGTAGAACATCATCTGTATTCAACCTTCCTTTAATGATGATCCAAACAAAAAACCCAACTTTCTTCGGGCTCTTTGTTTTCCAAATAGCCTTATAAAGATCGGGTGGCAAAAGGGATGACGAAAAAGATTTGCAAAGAGATGCCACTGAAAAGGAGCCAGAAGCTTCCAAAGACCAGAAACGACTATCCTCCGAACTGTTTGGGATGTAGAAAT